TTACATATTTTATTTTCAAATTTAATTATCTAATTTCATTTACTTACTTTACTTGTTTCCTATATGATTTAATTTTTTTATAATAATTTTATTCCATTTGTTACTTTTTAATTTTTTATGTTATTGTTAATATTTGCTTATTCAAATTATATTTCAATTTTCCTTATTTTATTTTATATATCTATTATTAATAATAAAAATAATACTAATAATTATAATAATAACAATAATCATAATAATAATAATAATAATAATAATAATAATAATAATAATAATAATAATAATAATAATAATAATAATAATAATAATAATAATAATAATAATANTTATATAACACTGTATATGTGTGAGGGTCTGGGGAAAGTATCCTGCAGTTCAATTGCAACTTCGTAGAGGCTTCAAGTCATCAAGTGCTTCGTAATTAGCACTTAGTAGCCGCTGAAGCGATCTTCGGTCGAGCTCCTTCACCAATTTGTGATGTGGGTTCTGTTGTTTTTCCAAGTTCATTCTAAGTTGGCCCCGAACGACCGAAAGGTTTTTATGAGAAATTTTTATTTTAGCTCAGAACTACAATAGAAGGATTTGACACTACCTAACGACGTTTAATTCGGGTTTTTACAGTTGCAATTATAAAGCCATGAAACTCTACTGGCTGGATGAGCTCGATATCAGTTTCACTGACCACAATTAATTTCTTTCTGATTTAATTTGATGTTAATTCTTAAAGAACAATGCATTCTCTTGGCTTTTGCAGCGACCTTTTGTTGAGCGTTGACCAAGCTTCCAGCAGCTCTTTCTCAACCTGACCTCTGTTTGTCAAATACCCCACAATCGTTCGAATGTTTCATACATTCGTGGAATTTCCTCCGACAGACCTAGCTTGAACGATCTCTTTGGCAGTCGTATAAACATGGTGTACTTCTTGTCATTGTTTTATCTTATTGTATTTTATTCTGTTATTCATATTTCATTTCATTTATTTTTTTAATATATTTTGTTTCATTTCATTTGATTAAATTTGTTTTTATTTTTTCTTTAATTTCTGTATTCTTAATAAAAATACAATCTGCCCCATTTGGGTGTTCTTTTCGCGCTGCTTCTTGTATGTTGATTTATGCCACGCTTCACCAACCAAATGCATAGCCTCTCCCGCTACAGCTGTATACTCCAACTACAATAACAATTTATACTGACAAAGTAAAATATGTGAAATTAAATTATGCTTGTCATGGATAGCGAGGAGTACCAACAATAAATGCGTTACAGCTACAACAACAACAACAATGTGTTACAATAAAAACAACAACAACAACAGCCGCAGCATCTCGTACAACAAAAGTCAATATAAGAGCAGCTTCTGCGTTAGGTGGAAGTGGAAGAAAGGAATGCAGCTCATATTACATCTTGCTGAAGGATATTGCATCCTTTGTTGTTAATTCAAGAACTTAAGTGAAAGTAAATAGAGTCAAAGTGGACGAGCATTAAATGTAAATGATGATACTCTTCGCTAGATTTCCATGTAAATAAATAAAGGCGGACTACTGAATGATGTATATATATATTACTTACATACATATATACGTGTACATGCATATGTATTTCTACATATACGTATATAGTGCGTAAGTAGTACGTGCGAATTGGAAAGTGGTTTAAATCTCATTAAGACGACAAAAGTTAACTTTGTTTCAATATGCAGAGTGAAGTAAATTTATTAAGTTTTGTAGTTGTAGTTGTAGTTGCAGTTTAGTGTAACTAAACTTATCCTTCAGGACGGGAAGGGCTTAACTGGTGTGATGATTGTTTAGTACTCAGTTCACTCTTTCACCATTTGTTCTTTAGCCGCCGTATAAGTAAAAAAATGAGAAGAAATGAAAAGAAACTTTTAAATTTATTGTCATGAGCGCTCATTATTCCGATTTCTTTGCAACTCTAAATGCCAAAATGTATTGAGTCAAATAGATAAAATAGATGGGTAACAGATCTAAGTCCTCAGGGATCTGCTCGTCTGTTTTAATAGCATCTATTGGGCTTGTGAACGTTCCACTTCCCTTTCTAGATACTTAAAGCGTGATTATTAACACACGCTAAGGGTATTTAGGTAAGACAGTGGAGTTAAATATTCAAAGATTTAAATTTCAAGCTGTTCGAGGGACCTAAAAAACGCTTCTTATCCTCTAAGTACTCCCTCCTCCGGCGCCAAAAAGCATGCTTATGATATATTACTCATTTAGCCGTGTCCTTTTCTCGTTTACTCAGATCTGTTCCTTCAAGCTATCTACCTGGTAATGGGCCTCCTTATGAAGGATGAGCATTGTCTAGAAAATCAGCATATATACGCCTTAAGATGATTATTGTAGTTCGAAAGAATCCAAAACTTATCAGCTAGTCGTCGGCACTGCTGTTTTATATAACACTGTATATGTGTGAGGGTCTGGGGAAAGTATCCTGCAGTTCAATTGCAACTTCGTAGAGGCTTCAAGTCATCAAGTGCTTCGTAATTAGCACTTAGTAGCCGCTGAAGCGATCTTCGGTCGAGCTCCTTCACCAATTTGTGATGTGGGTTCTGTTGTTTTTCCAAGTTCATTCTAAGTTGGCCCCGAACGACCGAAAGGTTTTTATGAGAAATTTTTATTTTAGCTCAGAACTACAATAGAAGGATTTGACACTACCTAACGACGTTTAATTCGGGTTTTTACAGTTGCAATTATAAAGCCATGAAACTCTACTGGCTGGATGAGCTCGATATCAGTTTCACTGACCACAATTAATTTCTTTCTGATTTAATTTGATGTTAATTCTTAAAAAAACAATGCAATCTCTTGGCTTTTACAGCGACCTTTTGTTGAGCGTTGACCAAGCTTCCAGCAGCTCTTTCTCAACCTGACCTCTGTTTGTCAAATACCCCACAATCGTTCGAATGTTTCATACATTCGTGGAATTTCCTCCGACAGACCTAGCTTGAACGATCTCTTTGGCAGTCGTATAAACATGGTGTACTTCTTGTCATATCATTTGATCAGAACCTAAGTCACGTACTCTACCTATTCTTCTAAAAGGACGTTCTTCAGCTTTTTTTTCCTCTGAATGACCATTCGTAGTAAAACCCGATGGAAACTTTGACGTGATTTGAGAATTCCGCCAATAATTGTATTGATACTCAGTGAGACTTTTTATAATGCTAATTTACATTGGTCCCCTCTTTTCAAAGAACGCCTCTTGGTTACCTCATTGAGAACTTTCAATCAGCAGTTCGATGGAACTGATCTAATTATTGCGATCCCTTCGTTCACTTTTCGTGAGAAAAATTAAGTAAGTAAAGTCGTTAAAAGTACTCGAATTTAAATCGGATACTCAATAAGCTCTTTGTATTGATTTATTACTCTCTTGAGAGATTATATCACATAAATATTGAAATAATTTAAGCTTAAGCTAAATTTTGGAAACTTTATAAATTCGTATGTTAGATCTAAGGATCTTTCAGCCAGATGAGTTAAGAAGTTCTCTATATGGTTATCTTAGCCTATGCTTCTATTGTATGGAATCCGATTCTCATTCGATATTGGAATTGAGTGAGCTTTACTGGGGTAAGAGTAAGAATGTTCCCTTCAAAACGTTTTATTACCAAGATCTTAATGAGATTCTGGTGGCCGCAATCGCCAAGTGCATTACATTGCGTACTAACATTCGGAGAAATAAACAGTCGACGCATTTGCATCTTGTCTCCCACATCTAGGCTAGGTTCTGTCGTCCGTTCGATTGAAAGCAGAGTAAGAGGGAGGCCTATGCTCAGTTGGAAGGTTCAGCGTAGAGCGACCAGGCTTCCCTTGGTATTTCCAATTGACGTTACACAGCGAAGAGAACAACGGAATGGCGCGATTGATTCGGCTATAATCGTGTAAGCGGTGCAAACGCCAATGAAGAAGAAGAATGAAATTTGCTAAAATTGTTTAGAGTGCCATTGGTGGTCAGTACGGTCTAGAATGTCGATGCTTTCTGTTCATCGGTTTGTACAATGTTCAGTTTACACCTAAGATACATCTCTGAGACAGATCAGTTAGATGGATGGGTGGGTAGCGCTTGGTACGTCGCCACAAGAAAATAAAAAATAATATTAAAAGAAGTCTAGGGATATCCACCTGGGTAGCTAGCAATGCATATGTGATCTTGGAAGAGGTAACTGATAGAATGCCAATATACATATATAGAACAACAACAACAAACTGTAAAACAGAATTCTTAAAATGATAAAAAGCAGAGGGAGACAATGAGACATTAAAAGAAGCACAATGAAAACGATTAAAGGAATATAAACTGGCATATGCTTCTTCTGCTTTTTGCTTTTCATACTTGTATACATATATGTATGTGCATTATTATACTACATTTACATACATATGTAGATATATACTCTTAAATCTACTGAATGCCTTTAATGTTTATATTATTATGCTTTGTTTTTTCTTTTGCTTTCAGCTAATCTCGATGGCAACAAACACAGTTACTTACATAATACCGTAGACAGCCGTTAGTAGGGCATACAGAGGGCCCATATGTATGTATATGTGTACAAGGAAGTTTATGGCAAAAGGAATTTCAGGCAGACAAAAAAAGATTACAACAACTGATTGCTGAATAAATTACATAATAAAGATAAGAGGTAAATGAGGGGCGCGTAAATGGATATTGAATCATTTCAAGCACTGTTATTACAAATACATGCAAAAAAAAACAGAGAGTAAAAGGACATTCAATATAAGCAAAAAAGCCAGAGAGGCTGGATATTAAAAGCAAAGCACACAAAAGAATATTATTCAATAAAGATGACCACACAGGAATTAATGCCGTTAAGTGAGCCAAAGAGAAATTAATAATAAAAAAATTTTTTAGAGAATGAAAGAAAAGGGAAGCAAAACGTCAACAGAACCGCTAAGGATGCAACCGCGCGCATAATGGCTGAGTGATTGTGGCGGGAATAAATAATATTTTTAATAAAAATGACAATAAAAAGTACTAAAAAAAAAGTTAATAAAATTAAATATCTAAAGTGATTAACTGTCTACAGTAGTAGTGATGAAGCGTAAGCGCAATAAAACATGCGCTCATAAATTCATTTTTAACGGTTTATTTGAATTTTGAACAAGTACTTAATATGTATTACTTAATATTGCGAAAAAAATATTGCATAAAAATCAAACAAAATGCTGATGTTGCTGCTGCAAAGTACTTTTAATTGCTCAGCAAGCAAACAACAACACTGCCAAAAAATCAACTCCCAAACGCCAAATGTACTTACTAAAAAAAAACAATAAAAAATGAATTAAAAAAAAAATTGAAAACTTAACTTAAATTAAATTAAAACACAATTTTGGATAGTCAAATATACATACATACTGTCGTCACGTAATGAAGACATTCCCCTGCTTGCCTGCGACGCATTTACTATCGTTACCGTTATCGTTATCGTTATCACGATCATTATTTGTAATTCTATTTTTACTATTCATTGGAGATCTTAATTTATACAATTTAATCAATTTAACAACAACAAATACAAATAAAAATCACAGTTGTTGTATTGGTAAAGTCTCAGCGGAAGTCTTCACTTTGGGCTATTTAACGGGTTCACAAAGAAGTCCGGGAAATTTGGATTATCAACGACCAGGTGAGTGGGAGAATTTTTAATTACAAAAAAAAAAAAAATTTAATTACAAAAAAAAAAAAAAAAATTAATTACAAAAAAAAAAAAAAAGTAAAGCGGGAGTAAAGTTCGCGTGGAACCGAACGCATTAGATATTCGGCTGATTTTCATTTTAAACTCATTAAAACTTTCATATTCATCAAGTGAGATGAAGCTTTCTCGGTAGTTTTCTTGAATATTCCAACTTTGAACTAAGAGCGATCAAAGAAGGAAGTTCTGTTCTATGGGAGATAGACATATTTCTGGACTTGCGTCAACCATTTTTGGTAGTTCTTTAGTCTCCTTGGAAAAGAGCGTATCTACTAAGGTATTCTACGCAAGTGGAGATTAACGAAAATTCGAGCAGTTGGTGACTTTCAATTTTGTTTTAGTTAAATCGAAAAATTCCAAATCCTTTGCAATTACTTTCTTAGTCTTCCCTACAAATTCTAGAAAGATCAGCTAAAATTGAGACGAACAAACGCAAGATAGCTGAGCATAGGTCAGACGAAGTTCCACCACCAACGCAAACAGAAGTTCGCCATGTGATTCTCTCAGGGGTTCGGCGTAATTTACAGCCAATACAAATATTCAGTGAATGCCAAAATGTATATGGAACGATTGCACCGTCTTTAGAGACTATTTCTAAGTGGTTCCGCAGATTCCAGATCGAACCATTTCTCCGCAGAGGATGAGACCCGAGAAGATCGATCAAAATCTTCCACTGATGACGTCACTGTAGCTCTGGTGAAGTCCAACCCACGATGGATACAAGAAATTATTGCTAATAAATTGGGTTTAAATGCCATGGCTGCATCGCGAGTATTAAGTAATCATCTGGGATGCACGAATAAATCTGCTCGATGAATGCCACAAATTTTAAATCAGGTCCAAAAAGAGGCTCGATTGAATTTTACTCAATCTGGTCAACTTACCGAACTTTTGTAAATACCACGGCCTTCCTTCCATCTAAGCATCTCACGTCGACCCGGCAAACATTGTATTGATACCAGGTCATGTGTAGCCTTAAGACTCATCTCGTAGAAGTCGAAGTTTCTTGCTAATTATCTATTAATTGAACTCTGACTGGGCGTGGTCCGATTGGCACTCACTCAGCTGACTGAAAATACAGCCTAATGAGCTAAAAAGTATCAAAGGGTGTTGTATTGATGAATTAGTCATAGGTAACAAGCACATTGTAGAGGCTGGGCTTCTTACTCGACCCGAAACTATTGAAGGCACTTAAATAGTCTGGCGCCAGATCCGGGTTCTTCTTATCACGATATTTCCAACGACGGAGAGGAATTCTTCTTCCTCTGTTTACTCTGTCGGTTATTGCCTTGAAAACTTGACCTAACCATTGTTTCTTAGTGCGCTGTATTATTTCAACGTCCTACAGCTCATAGTTCCGTCATCTACAGTAAAACATTTCTCTCGGACACTCCTAATACCGACTCGTCAAATGTAGTAACAGAAAATACGAGTAACTTGAAGGAAGAGTGGACTTTACTTTTCAATTGCCCACCCAGCCCAGAGTAACTTGCATTCTCAAGGAACTGTTGGGCTTATATCATACTCGGTAGATCAGAAGAGTGAGTTCTTTTGCCCATTTGTTATAGGTGTGTTTTACGGCAGTTCAGCCAACGCTCAGGGATCAGAGGAGGTTCCTCAGCTCAGCGCATTCAAGGCGATTGAGTCTGGCCTTTTCCAATTGTCCATCTTATTCAATACTTCGCCCACACGTGTACATTATAATTGGTTTTTTAAATTACTATCACCTCCTCCACCGCCCAGGTATTACCATCTCAGGCGCCATCACACTCGCCGTCTCCCAAGTGAATGCTGGCAAATTGAAGGAGCTCGGTCACTCCATTGAGTTCATTGTGGCGGAAACATATGGCGATGAGGTGGCGAGTATACGCCAAACAGCCTCGCTTTGGACGAGACAAGTAGCCGGTTATATTGGACCACAGGAGACGTGTGTACATGAGGGGCGTATGGCGGCCGCATTCAATTTACCAATGATTTCCTATGTAAGTTGTCAATTTTTATAATTTCTTATAACAACTGTAACTACATACATACGTGTATAGTTAAAAATATATATATTTTTATATTTCAGTATTGCATACATCGGGACACATCCAATAAACAAGACTTTCCCACCTTTGCACGCACACGACCGCCTGATACGCAAATCTCAAAGTCGGTGGTCTCATTGCTGTTAGCTTTTAATTGGACGCAAGTGAGTGGTCAACGTTTGTTGTTGTTTAGCATATCTTTTAAGAACACTTTCTTCATTTGTGGCATTGGCAGGTCTCCTTTTTGTATTTGGACAGTCCACACAGTCCCTACCATCCGGTCGCTGAGACCATACAGAATATTCTACACAATGCCGGCGTTAAGGTGCGCGATGTGGAAACGTGGAATACGATCTATCATCACGGTTTTATGGCGAATCCTTTCGATGAACTTGTGGAGCGCACCTATAAAAATACACGCAGTAAGCAAAAACAAATATAATACAATATGTACGAGTATGTATATACGTATATGTATGTATGTATGTTTAATACATGACATGATCCAACCCTTATAACATCTTTGTCAAGTGCACTCAGTGTTGTTGTGAGAAATGTATATGTAGAAATGTTGAGCGATCATTTTCAATTATCCTGTTCATTATCCTTCTCTTCTTGTTATCCTTCGACTTGAAATTCTCAGCTAATTCATTTTTATTTACGCTCAAATGATTAGTTTTGAGTTGGTTTAGTTATCGCTTCTCGGCCTTATGGCTAAGATCAAAGTGTAGTATCTGTTCTTATCAGCTTAACATCTGATAGATCCTCCATCGGAGGACAACAAATGTTAAACTGATTTTTGGAAATCGACGGAGTGTTTTAGGAGCTTGCTCCACCTCTGTCACGGGTTGGCCCGGTATTGCAGTACCACCGGGATTTTCGGCCCAAATTTAATGAATAAATATGGTTTCGAAAGTCGATAAGGATTGGTGAAATCGTTTCTTCTTCTCGTGGCGAAATTATTGCGAGACTACTCAGAACTCCAATTGGTCTTTGCATTCCATGTTGAAAACCATTTGATTTTGGTTGAGCCTTTGCGATGCGGAAGCCAATCGCGGTTACTTTTCTTATTTAGGAAGCAATTATTAAGAAACCCTTGAGAACAGACGATCGCCACACTTTGTCGACTTTAAAGCAGCCGTCGACAGCACGAAAATAATAAGACCGGCAGATCTGAATACAAAAGCTACAATTTCTGTACCTGAGAGTTAATGTCTAATACCGACGACATTGATATTATTGCCCTCAACAACCGTCCCTTGAGTTCTCCTTACTTACTCCAGACTGGAGAGAAGGATATGTATGGATCATATAGTGAACAAGGCCAAGCCGAAATATCTCCGGGCATCAAACAAACAGTCATCGCATTTGCGACTCGGCTTCCACTGTTGACAGACATAATTTTCAAGTCGTAGATAACTGCGTCTATTTTGGAATCCGTACCAGCAGCAACAAATAGCAGCCTGGAAATCCAACGCAGAATCACTCTTGCCAACAGGTGCTACATTAGACTGAAAAGTAAATTCCTCTCTTTACAAGTCGTCTATCTTGCCCGTTCTGCTATATTTTGCATTGACACGGACGATGAGTTTTCGGAGGAGTTTTCCAGAGAAAGATTTTGCTTAAGATTTATGGTCTTATACGGAATGTTGGAAATGGCTCATACCGCAGACGATGGAACGATGAGATGAAAATGAGTTCAACGAATCAAGAAAGAGGTACTGGACCAGCTTGGACATGCGCTCCGAATGGATAAGAAGAGTCTAGCTTTGAACGTTTTCGGTGCAATATCCGCTGGTTTTCGCCTTAAGAACTATACACTGGAAGATCATTTGGACACTTTGCTGCAACCTAGAAATAGCAAACTACAAATAACAACCGTTATTGACGTCCCGCAGAAAATACTCGAGTTTTTATATTCTCTTCCAGTCGGATGTTACGGTTGTGAGGTATGTAAGACTCGTAATTACAGTGTGTTCATAGAAAAACAACTTTGAAATCCACTAGACTTTTATGAGCCCGCATTGATTTCCTCTGACCAAACCGTTTCTCATCTAATTTATATTAGCTAGCTAGCTGATGAGCAAATCTGTGACTGTTTATGCGTGACCTTCCTTTTTTGAGCTCGGTTTCCGTGCACTCTAGACTACCCGCAGGTCTCAGTCATCGATCTATTGGATTTTTCGATTGCTTTTGAGACGCATAGCTCGGGTAGCGCTTTCTCGTCAACTTAAGAAAAAATTAAAAAGAGACAAAAAATAATTTTTTGAAATTTAAAACACTACATGAAAGTAAAATAGGGAAGGCTCAACTAATAACAACTCCATAAGTGACCACTCGTCGTAGGCCGTTAGCTTAGTTCTCTTGCATCGCTTTCTGCTTAGAAAGATATTGAATTAATACACTAAATTTGGGCCGAAAATCCCGGTGGTACTGCAATACCGGGCCAACCCGTGACAGAGGTGGAGCAAGCTCCTAAAACACTCCGTCGATTTCCAAAAATCAGTTTAACATTTGTTGTCCTCCGATGGAGGATCTATCAGATGTTAAGCTGATAAGAACAGATACTACACTTTGATCTTAGCCATAAGGCCGAGAAGCGATAACATATACATCCAAGCAAAGAACTATTCAAATTCATGTATAAATGAAATGTATGAGAATTGTAGGTAAAAATTGTATCTGCACATTCGCTACGAATGAAATAATTAAGATATTCAGTATTCATATTTGAACCCTGCACATATGTACGTACATATAAATACTATCGAGCCAATTATACCCAAGTTAAAAAAAAAAAAAAACAAAAGAAAAATACGCACATTTCACTGTTGAACGTTTCGAATACGTTTATCAGATTGTTGTTATTGCTTTCAGAGAATGTTTTGCATGGGCACTTATTAGAAGATTGGCACAACTCAATAATGTAGATATGTACATATGTCATACGAATAGGTACTTATATAAAACTATGATTAACAAGCATTTAGTTTTATGGGTAGTTAAAAGGACGCTAATGAAAAAATTAATAAATTAATAAAATATATATTAAATAATTTTTTTAGAATTTGAGTTGTTTCACTGCTTACCTTTTCTATTGTTCTAACGTTTTCGATTGCTTTTATACACAAAATATAAGAGATAAAATTAAAAAAAAGACAGTAATTTACCGTACAAATAATACTTTACTAACAATAAATTGCATTAATAGAATTTTTTTTTTAAATATGTATGTATGTTTATATGTTAAAGACCTGAAATCGTAACTGTTTGCTACAATACTGGAAACTTTCGAAAGCTTGTCCGTAGCCCTTGGTAGATTACCGTAGCATTCACTAAATTTGCCAAATAAATAATAAATTTAACAAACTACGGTCAACATTCACGGGCTGCGGACACTTTCATAAGTGTTTCCAGTATGAATAAATCGGTTTCAAGAAAAACATTTAAAAATTTTCTAAAATTTTGAGTTACGTCTCATGTACAAAACATGTGCAATAATATTGTGCTCGCCTACATACGAACGTATTTATATATGTATGTGCATACATATGTATATAGGTCACTTTGACTTTATTAGAGCGCTAATATGGTGTTATAGATAACATTAGCGCAGTAAGGTGGCCAGATTTTCATATAAACATAGTGCATGCATATTATATACATATATATGTAAATATGTATATAAGTAGATATACATATGTACAGTGGATCACAGCCAAAGTGATGAGCTGTGTAAGAAATAGTATAATAAGTTTTATATAAAAATTAAATAAATTTTCCAAAAAACATGATTGCCAGTTAATAGCGGCAGATACATATATTATATATGTAATTTCATTTATGCTCTATAAATATTATATTTTATGTAATTAACAACAACCAAACAAATTGGCTATTAAATTGTACCTCACAGTGAAATTGATGCACAACCATTTACCGTTATCGCCGGCGTCTTGTCAACAATTTTTGAATGCAAAATAAATACCGCTATAATCGCGAGACAAATTGGTGTAATATGAGATAATTTTGACATTATACTATCGACATTGGTTGAGTGTAGATCAAAATAAGAGTCGCCAAATGAGTATTGGGTGCGCGAATTGATCATAAAATATTATAAAGATGGCAAAAGTCAGCTTAAAATCGCGGAAATGTTGAAATTGAGCTATGGAACTGCATATCATAGAACGCGATGTTAATGAAAGTCGTGTGTTAAATCAAACTAAAACGGCTCATAATAAAATATTTAACGAAAGTGATTCCCGATGGATTGTACGGAAAATCCGCGAAAACTCAAACTGCTTAGACCAGAAGGAAAGAGCTGTATATGGAGAAAATCAAATGCTGCGTTACCAACGTAAAATTTACGTATCGCTGTAAAACCTGGTGGAGAGCACGTAATGGTATCTTCTGGAGTTGGAAATTTGGATTTCAACAATAGTACTTTGGAGAAGACTGTGCACTTTGGACATTTTAAAAATAAATTTGTTGCAAAGTGCCTCAAAATTAAGTATACATGACAAGTTTCGATACTATCAAGTTGATGATCTGAAACACAAATCAGGCATTGTGCAAAGTAGGCTTATTTGGAACTGTCCGCACATGGTACAAACCCCAGCGCAGTTTTCAAATTCGTATGTGTTTGAGAATCTGTGGGCAGTTTTGGAACAAGAGATGCGAGAATATGAGATACGAAATCAAGCCGACTTAAAAGAAGCTCTACAAAGCACAATGGAACATTATTGCTCATGACTACAACAATAAGTTTGTGGTATCCATGTCCAAAAGTATATATGAAAGCTGTCATAGACAGCAAGGCGTATCCTACTAAATATTATTTAACACACAATTTTAGTGTTGTTCTTAAAAAAAAAATTACCTTTATTAATTTTTTTGTTACTGCGTCACTTAGGCTGTGAGCCACTGTATATAGGGCTGGCGCTTTATAGCTTTCAAAGCGATTTCCAATTTAGTTTTTGGTTAAAATCACTCTAGAATTTTAGAAAAAAACGCAATTTTTTTCACACAGGATACATTTGTGTGTCCTAGAATTGTCATGAAATTGATTTTAAAGTGGAAAATATTAGTTTAAACGCATTTTTACCAAAATCACATTTTTCAGAGGGAGGACAGTTTATTCGTATTCGGACTCTATTGCATCGATTTATCAGGAATTGTGATGGTAGCATCACAAATACATTTTCTTTTGAAGTACATAGCCGTTTTTCGATTAAATGTAAACTTTTTTTTATTAATTTTTAGTAAAAAATCAATATTTAAAAAAAAAAAAGGTTGCCGCTTTCACAAAAATTAGTCAATAAATAAATCCGTATATACTTTCAACAACTATAGTTGGTAGATCATAAAACTTTTTGCCTTTCTGTGCCTGATCTCATCTTTTAGCAGTAATTGGTACTCTCGTGAACCGCCTTCAAAATAACATAGATGAAATAATAAACTCTATCGTCGCCATTTTGTTATAAAAGAATAATTAAAGAATATTTTTTTATACTTCAATACTCACATATACATATGTTAGATGAAATATAAAGTTAAATATAAATTATATTGGTTTTGCCATATTCCTAGAATAAATTTAAAAAAAATTAGTCCATTTTCCAACCTCGAAATCAAATACGATTTGCGATTTATAACTTGATTTTAAACAATAACAACACAGTTTTGAGTTATGACGTTCTTCTTTTATATCAAAATCCCTTAATTTGTTTTGAGTCCCAGTGAATTTTTTTACACTATATCATGCATATTAAAGCAAAAATCGACCATTTTTACAACAAATTTACAGTTTTAATAATTAACATTTTTTTTATAAGCGATTTCAATCTGTAGAATTTGAAAATGTATATACATACAACCATACATATGTATGTATTTGCACCACATTTATCGGTATTGTGTACCTTCCTACCATATATAATTTTCTCTACCGTTTCACAAGCATTTAGTTATGCCTTCGCTGACATTGCTGTTGACTTGTAATTCTCATATGGTTCACGTTATTGTTTCAATGAATACTTGATTCTGGTGTTCAGTCAATTACTCTGGCTTCTCTTCAGTTGTCGAATAAATCTTTCGCCTTTTACTAAAGATTTCCGTGGAGAGGAGCACTCTAATGAGTCTAAAAGAAATTTTTGAAAGGTTTGCGACTTTTTGTTGCGAACCGATGATGTATAAATTATGGTTTAATTATGATTTTAGAATAATTTTGGTATAAATAAAAGTAAAGTGAGAGCATTAAAATATTTAATTTGTTTCTAATCATAATTTTAAGTTAATGTCAAATTCGTGGACAACAACAGTTCAGTGAAGTTAACCTGATCAGAAATCGAGTTTTGTTTTATTTAATTAATTTAACAGATTTTCTTGAAAAAAAAAATTAATTTTATGGAAAATAAATGTTCTAAATATGTGTTGAAAATTTTGAACTTTTTTTTCTTTAAATATTTTTATATCTGACGACCCACATTGTTGTGATTTTCTATATTTTGTCTAGTTTTTTTTTATTCTAATTAATATTAAAAAGTACGATCATTATTTAATTCAAAATATAATATTAAGTTTTTAAAATCATATAACGGTAAATTAATTAAAATTCGACTGTTCAGTAATTCAAACTGTATGGGAAAAATATTTCCTCCAGTGTCCGAACAGCACTTTGTTTATTTTTTCTATTGTATAAGTATGTACGTTATACAGGGTTCAAAAATGTGAGGTGTTAGGCTGCAACTACCCAACGAGCGTACCAGCCGTCCATAACTGACGACGTTAGTAGTGAAATACATACACGAGCTATCGACGCCGCTGAGAGCGGCGAAATGTTGCCAGCTGCCTGTGTGTTTGCACACTTTTGAACAAATTCATAATTTTCGTCAACGAATTTCATAATTTATTTGCCTTAACATAAACACAAGGCAAATATACATGATCTATATAGTAACAAATAATTAGTTACGCATTTATTTTCATTTCTTTTGAACAAAACTACGCATTTTCTTCGATTATTTAATGTTACTTTAGGAAAGGCTATACTGGCAACCTTGTATAGCAACGAAAAATGAGCCGAGCCGGTTTTACGGAAAAATCAAAACTTCGTTGGTTTCTGCGACACAAACGTCAGCAACGATATGGTAAATCGGTGACAACTTTGTGTTTACATGGCGCTCTCATAAGATAGGTTACTATGGACGGCTGGTACGCTCGTTGGGTAGTTGCAGCCTTATTTTGATATTTGGATTAATTTTTTAAATGGCGTTTTTCGAAATAAATAATCGGATGAAAGATATGTCATCAATAATGGTAAGCAATATTAGCCAATCGGCCGCCACGGTTACGCTTACAGGGCCGTATCCTTTCTCTGAAATTTTCCATCAACCAAATCGCAAAGTGGCTTTTTCTATATGCGCTGAATAGCTCCACGAATTCCATTTTTAGGTCTTGAATCGACATTGTCCTGTTGGCGTAGACCTTATCTTTCACGAGACTCCAAAGGAAGAAGTCACCAAGTATTAAGTCACAAGATTGTTGGTTTCGTTGCTTGTACGGTGCGTAGCTTCTTATTTTTGAAAGTAAACGTTGTCCAGATCCACAGCACCCAATTTCGGCTATAAACACTTAGGAATCATTTCTCGATAGTGTAATCCACTCGCTGTAACTGTTGCCTCATTTCCAAATCCTGGTATCGTACTATTGTAACATCCAAAAAGTTAAAGAAAATTAATTTCAAATACGATATTAAGCAAAATTTTTTAATTGCGCCAGGAAATGTCCACCACTCCGAGTTTATTTCTGACATGAAATAAAGCTCCTCATAAAAACCCATCAGCCATTGGGAAGCGGCTTAGTATAAACTGTAGATCCCTCCATTTGTTGCAAACACCACAAATTGGTGGGCGATCTTGGCCGAAAATCGCTTTAGCGGTTACAAAGCACCAATTATATGTACATACATATATAATATATAAGGTCCAATGATCCCGCCGGACCAAAAACCACACCAAACAGTTATACGTTACGGATGGTGATGCTTTTCAAAAATAAATCCTAGGTTTTCCGAGCGCCAGATGCGACAGCTTTGCTTATTGGCGTAGCCATTGAGGTGGTAATGAGCCTCATCAGTCAAGATGATTTTCCGATGAAATTTTTATAGTAAATTTTAAACATTTCAATGCGGTGTTGAAGAGTGTCTTGTTGCATTTTTATTACTGGCGTTGTTTTTACTTGTCAAATGTCAAAAAATTACAACTGCAAAGGTGACAGCTAGTGGAATAGCGAGCTATTCAAAATAATACCTCTTATTGGAAACCCCTTTATAAAACCAATGCTCTGCCACTGCTCGTAAAGAAGTAATTTCGAGGAAATCGAACCTAAAATAAGATTTTTTCGAATAGTTCAGTCCCTAGTTGTATTTTTTTTACTTTTATTTACACGCTTTGTGCGTTAGTAGATAATTTTGTAGGAGAAAAGCAACTAAGATTGTATATAAAATACATAATATACGTGTATATGGGCATACAAGTAAATAGTTAATACTATTATCCATTTACCTCCTTACTTTTTAATTTTTTTCTAATTTGTACTATTTCTTTCTTCATATTTCATTCTATCCCCAGTTTATCTCATACTTGGCCATTACTACGAACACGTTGGACTGATGGTCAGCTTGGAACGGAAAGGCTTATTGGCTAACGGCGAATATTTTGTTGTTGGCATTGATATAGAACAATATGATCCAGCAAATCCGGATAAGTATTTACGCGGATTACTTTTGGAGAAAATCGATTTAAGCGCAGAAGTAGCTTTTCAATCATACGTGGGCATTTTCCCAACAGCAACGGTCTCATTTGCCAAATTCGCCAAAGAGGTGAGTGGATGAAGGAAGAATGAATAGTTATACACATATAAATCTATTTTTATATAAAATGTAATTAAAATACATTTTCTACACATTTGTAATGGTAAGGCGATTGGTGTGTGCAGTTGTTAATGCGATATATAGACATACATACATACATATATGTAGTGTGTGGAGAGTTGACAAAATCTGTATTAATTTCAGCGTTCAAGTTTAATTAAATTTTATTCAAAAATACAACACTGATTTGCTGGTACTACTATTATTTTTTTCTAAATAGGATTACAATGTTTGGCTTTTTTTTCAAAATATTTTACGGTAATTTGAAATGAACAAATACTAATGTTTCGTTACATACAAATGCTTTCAAATTGATGTGTTGTTTTAATTAAATATTTTAAACTTAGACTGTCAGTTTCAGAAAATGTAAAATGCATTGATAAATAGAAAATTATATATATATTTGAAATTCTCTGCATTTCATGCTAGAGTATAGATAAGGGAGGGTTTGTATAATCGCGGAATGAGGGGTGGAAATAAAAAAAAATTTTTTTGCTTTTCAATATTTTCGGCTGTAGGACGAATACATTTTTCAGCTCTTTCTTTTAATTTATATGTATATATCCCCAAAAAAAATATTTTCTCTTTATCTTCTTCAAAATACGCCGAAACTGCCGCTTGAACTCATCATCGGTGGTGCATTTTTTAATCATTAGCTCATTTTCTCTTTTCGAAAACAGATAATAATTAATCGGGACCAAGTCTGTGCTGTAGGGTGTTTGATTCAAAATATTGAAGCACACCTTATGCTGTACAGCCAAAGCAACGCGATTTCTGTGGACGGGCGCGTTGTCTGGCAAAAGCAGTGTATCTCTGGTCACTCTAATATTGATGTATAGTATTCCCCTGTTAAATTTATTTATTTCCTAGCTGACTGCGATATCTTTAACTTCTTGATGTTGCCACTTTTTTGCCACAGCATGGAGTCTGGTTTCGATTCTGGTTCATAATGATGAACTCCAGTTTCGTCTTCAACAACAATTTGATACAGTACACCACCCTCCTCTGCATTACAGGGGCCCAAAAATGCACGTGCACACTTTATGCGCAGCTGTTTTTGCGGGTACGTGAGCACTCTTGACACCCATTTTGCACTGACCTTAATCATGCCAAGATGATCGTGCACGATTTGGTTGTAGCGAATACTCAAACCATTCCGCGCCTTGTTTTTTTCTTTAGTCGAGCATTGTCTAAGACAGCTTTTTTCCCACTTAATTAATAAGTTATGACGTGGTCACCTCTATGCTCCTACACGGCTTCACGTCCCCTCTAAGGGATTCCCTTCGGTGTTTAAATAAACTGTGACGCTTGTGCATAATGATTTTTCTCATCCGCCACCGTACACCGTCTCTGTTATTAATGTTGTCACTGACTTTTTTTGCTTGGTAAGGAGCTTTTTAACGTCACGATATTCGGTTAATTTTTCATATTTCACTTTTCACTCCCGATTATGCTGCTTGATAGACATCAAATAATAGTTATCTAAAACAATGAAACCTCGTATTTATACTTAATTCTCTGAACACGTTACAGTCCTAATGAGCCTTAACACCCCCCAACAACCATCTCATCCCGCGAACATAAAAACACTTCTTTGCTTTAGTAGTGGCAGTATTGCTCGAATTTTAACGGTGAAGCTGAAGGATATCGTCTGGGAATGACATCTAGACAGCCAGTCACATCCAGCGGTTCTTTTACTTACTACGTGAATGGAGTCCTTTCTATTAGGGTCTTAACGACGTTGTTTAAATGGAACTATAACTTCTTCATCTACGTATCGCTAATCCCCGGCGTCAAGAACGTCGCGGTGTAATTTATGTTAGGGCGGCAGACAGTTTTCTAACTTAGCAACAATACTTCCATGTATTTGCTTTAAGTGCTGTTGGTTACTAACTTGAAAATTCTGTCAAATGTAGCCTAAGTAAATTCCGTCAAAGGGGGGGGGGTGAAGTGAAAGAGACTCCGTCTAGTGGTCGAAAAAGTTTCGATTTGTAAACATTTAACAATAATAGGTAGGAAGCACCACTACACGGAATCCCGTGTTAATTTTTCTCAGCTTGAGGAACCCCGGCCTTATATGCCAGTGCGATAGTAGCACTTCGGGACAAACGATCGTTTAAATGTACCAGTGCATCTGTGTACCGAGTTCGGTTGAATTATCTCAAAAATTGCGGTACTAGTTTGTGTACAAACATACGGGCAGACGAACGTGGCTAAATTAAGTCATTTCGTCATTCTGACCCGCTCGGTAATAATTTTGATGGGTCTATCTTTACCAGAAGGAAGGTACTTACATATTTCGGACCAAAATTAATATACCATTTCATGTACATGAAAAGTATAAAGCCATAAGCAGCTAAATATTTATACACCAACAAATATGGAACTAGTATATTTACATCCTTTAAATACTAGTTGAATACCAGTATTTTTAGATATCAGTTTAGGTTTTCCCTACAGGGTATGTACGAGTACAGTACGTATAAGTACGTGATTATTCGAGCAGTCATTATGACGTATGAGAAAAAAGCATTATAACAATTATCGATTGCGAAATGTTGCTTTAGGGCTGTGGAGCAGCAAATAGTAGTAGTTTTGCTATTAAGTAGTATGTGCTAATGGAGTGCTTGGAAAAAGTAGCGTATCAAGCATTGGAACGTGCTTAAAATATTTAATATTAACAGCAAACACAAGCAACAACTTGATTTACGCTTTACATACATACATATATTTTCTTTTTATCTCTTTTTCTTCTATTCTTTATTTACTTTGCTTAGGTCAACAAATATATGGAACTGCCACCATTTAATTTTCCCAATCCTTTAGGCTATTTTGGTGGAGCTAAGCAGGTGAGTAAACAAATTAGTATAAGATGGTGAATTGAACTTTAATATTAAAAGCAGAATTAAGATATTTTCAATAGAAAAAAATTAGAAAAATATAATAATATTTTCCTGTGAAGCTAAAAATATTTATACTTTAATTTTCGATGCTCTCGACTCAATTTTTTCAAACAAATTTACAAATTGGCAACCTTTTAAATTTTTTTTATTCAATATATACTGCAGAAAGAAATTCTAATTTTTTTTTTCATTTTTTTTATTTCTATTATTCTCTATATATTATATGTATGTACATATATACATATGTATGTATTGTTTTCCTTTTTTCAGATCAGCGCCGAGGCGGCCTATCTCTATGATGCCGTTCATTTGTATGCAAATGCTTTAATAAAAGTTTTGAAAGCTGGTGGTAAACCGAAAAATGGCACTGCTCTCATTGCGGCCATAAAAGGTTCAAAATATCTAAGCGCCATGGGGTGAGTGCGAAATAAAAAAATAAAATAAAAAAAAAACACGAAGGAAATAAACTTTTTACATTAACATTGGTAAAGGTAACTTTTTTTGGGGTAAATATATAAAATAATTACGTTGTAAAATTCGAAATTAAACAAGGCAATTTCTTTTAACTTTTATTACGAAAGAAAGCAGAATTGACAAATAATTTCATGTCGCCAACGTTAAATTTTAATTTTATGAACGCATTGCAGCCGGAAAATAGAAATACTTTTGTTCTTGTAAATATCGAAAAAATCCTCTTCATGACAGTCAAATAATTACATTCACTTTTTATGACGGTTCTCAGCATTTTCAATGAATAAATAATGATAATAATAAAAAAAAAAATAAAAAGATTTCATCGTTAATTTTTTTATTTTAACTTACTTTTATTTATTACATGGTAATAACAGCATTTAGTTCTATTAAATCCTACAGTTACTTGATTTTCCAGTAATCAGTTTTTCACCCCTCTCCCCTCCACACAGCTATCATGTGTATATCGATGAGAATGGTGATGCCGCAGGCAATTATACAGTATTAGCGCGTGGTTATGCGCGTAATAGTAGAAATATGACGGTACCGGGTCTAGTGCCGGTGGGAACATTTAGTCAAACACAAAGTGATAAATTACCTGTAAGTACGAGTACTATTTTTCAGTGTTTATTATTGTATTTGCAAGTAAAATATTTTTGATCTTTTTGTTGGTAAATTCCATTATCCTTAATAAATATTTTCGTTTTTTGGTTTTAACTCATTTGACTTTTTCAATTTTTTATTTAATTTATATTCAATATTTATTTGAATTATATAAATTTTTAACTTAATTTTATATATTTTACATATTTTTTTTTTACTTTTTATTTATTTTCCCTTATTTTTCGTATAATTACATTTTATGTTGTTTTATTTTAATATAGTTATTCAATTTTTTTATTTTACTAAAATTTATTTATTTTATTTTTTTTATTTAACGACGTTTGACTTTATTTTATTTGTAACAATATTTTATTTTATTTTCTAATTTGATTTATTTTATGTTGTTTTATTAGAAATATAATTTTTTAAATTTAATTTTTTATTTCTTAATCGCCTTAATTCAATTAAATTTAGTTCAACTTAATCTTTTATTTTATTATTATTATTATTTTTTATGAAATTTTTTATTTTTTGCACTTTATTTTAATTAATAAATTTTTTTGTTTTAATTTATTTTATTTTTTATTATTTTAATTTAATGTAATTAAAAATATTTAAATTAATATACATATTTATATTATATTTAATTTAGTATATATTATTTATTTAATATATGTTTTTTACGTTTGACTTTATTTTATTTTTTAATTTATTTTACTTTATTTTCTAATTTAATTTATTTATGTTGTTTTATTAGAAATACATTTTTTTAAATTTAATTTTTAATTTCTTAATTGGTTTAATTTAGTTAAATTTAGCTCATCTTCAACTTATTATTATTTTTTTATGTGATTTTTATTTTTTATTTATTTATTTTAAAAGCTTATTTCAAAAAGCTTATTTTTTGTTTTATTTTATTTTATTTTACATCTTATTTTTTATATTTTGCATTTATCTATATTATTTATTATTTAATATATTTTTTTTTTTATATTCCATATTTTTATTTTAATTAGTTTAATTTTGTTTATTTTACGACGCTAGACTTTTATTTTCTAATTTAATTTATTTTATGTTGTTTTACTTAATTCTTAATTTAAATTAATTTTCTATAACTTTTGGATGATGGTTGCACGGGGATTTGAACCCGAGCCTTCCGAATGGCATTACGCAATACTAACCACTCGGCTACCTCGGCCGCCATGTTTAATTTTATTTTAGTCGAATTGCTTTTATTTTATTTTATTTCAATTTAACTATTTTATTTCTTAATTTTTTAATTTAATTTTAGTCTTTTTGTTTTTTTTTATTTTATTTTATTTTAATAATTTTTGTTTAATTTAATTGTGTTTTATTTTGCTTAAAATTTATTTTTTATTTATTATGTATTGTATTTAATTTTAAAGAAGTTCTTATGTAAATTGATTAATTGATTTTTGATTTCTTAATTGATTAATTTAAATTTTTTTAATTGATTTTTGATTTCTTAATTGACTTTTTATTTCTTCTTGATCTTTTTATTTTTTCCTTTTTTAGTTTTTTATATATATTTTAGTTATCTTATAAAACCTTTTATTTAAATTTTTTTAATTTTATTTCATTTAGTTTTGTGTCATTAAATTTTTTAATTATCTTATTTTGTTTATATCTTTTTTTTAAATGTATCTTATTTTTTTAAGAGCTTTTCATTTAATTTTTTTTTCATTAAATTTTATTTGGTTTTGTGTTCTGTAATTTTTTTTTTTTAAATTTTTTTAAACTTTTTATTTTGTTTATATCTTTTATTGTTTTATATGAACTTTTTATTTAATTTTTTCATTTAATTTTATTTAGTTTTGAGTTCTATAATTGTTTTTTTTTTCAATTTTTTTAAAGAACTTTTTATTTTGTTTACATCTTTTATTATTTTATATGTATATCATTTATTTTAAATTATTTTTTTCCTTTTTTTATGTATTTTGTTTAATTTGATTAATTTTTATTTTATTTAATACTTAAATTTTTTTAAAGGTATTTTTTTTTATTTTAATGACTTTTGATTTTTTTATGTTTTTACGCTATTAAAATTTGTTTTATTTATTTAACTTCTTATTAATAAATTTTTAACTTTTTTATTGTTTTATTTTTTTCTTTTAATAATTTTAATTTGATTTTTGTATACTTTAAATTTTTCTTCTTTCTTAATTTACATTAAAATAAAATAATTATTATTTATTTATTTTAATTATATTATTTTAATTTATTTCCTCAATTTTTTTGCTTTAATTTACATTTTTAAGATAAATGTTATTTAAAAAGCTATTTTGGTTCAAAGAAAAACTAAATATATAATTTAAATAAGATGACCACTTTAACTGTTTACCACTTAATAACAATCATTGTACTAACTCTTATTACTTTCAACTTAATGCACTTTTTGTAAATAAAAACCTTTACATTTTTCATACAGTACTAAAAGTTTTTCCGCACTTCGAACTTTACTAATAATTTATTTCCTTTAATTTCTCATTAAAAATGCTTTAAATAACACTTAAAAAAAAATAATAAATAAATATAATCGAAAATCGTATGCAAAAAATACCAAAGAGTTTTCTGCAGGTGAGTACACGCGCTTCCTTTTCTACCCCACACCAACTTCACCATACTTGTTTGCTTACTGTTATAGTTTTTTGCTACCTACAAATGAATATTTTCAATAATTATTAAATAAACTTTTTTTCATTATTTATTAAAACATAATTGAATTACACTCATTTAATTGACATACGTATAAATATTAAATGTTATTCAATCAACCGACAGGATCTCAATTTGTATGGTAAAATCCATTGGGTGAGTCCGCTTGGTCGGCCAGCGGCAGAGCCGAAATGCGGTTTTGCGGGCGAGCGTTGCATCAGTGAGTACATAATTTGTTGTTGCCGCACTGTCGCTAGCGGCTGCCACCCATTCCAGTTCAATTAGCTTCATTTAGTTAACTTCGTTTATAATTTACAGGTTACACTGGTGAAATATCAGCGAGCATTGCTGGCGGTGCTTTGGTGTTGCTCGGGATTATCTCATTGGTTTTATACCGCAATTGGCGTTACGAACAGGAGTTGGACAGTTTGTTGTGGAAAATTGATTTTCGTGAAGTGCAAATGCATGAAAGCGAAAAGGAACAGTCTAGTCAAAAGCAAACAAGGGTGAGTGCTCAACCATATGTTTGTATGTACGAGTAGTATGCATGAAGTGAGGGGTGAATGGATGGTGGTGGGTTGGCGAAGTATTACGAGTGGGTGGCAAACCTTAAGCTTCCTTGGATTACATTTGAAGTAATTTTATGAATGTAAAGCACTCTTTTGTTTGAAGTGGCAGCTAATTGGTTTGCCATTCAACTAAATCCCAAGTGTATTAAGACAATTTTTAAAATTAAAATTCATTAATATTTTAAATAAGTTTGAGAATTTAAAGTGGCATCAATAAATTATAAATCTTTATATATATATATACGGTCTGTAAGGTTTTTGAGAAATTGTTCATTTTATGTAAACCCTAAATGTAGGCAATATTTTGTAATAGCTAATAAAAAATGTAAAACTTTGCCTACAATTTGACGCATTAATCTAATAAGTTATAATAAGTTAAGTAAAAGAATTTCTGCTCATACATATTTGAGGTAATAAGTTAATAATATATCCAGCAGTTCAGTGCATGCTACCATGCGTAGAGTCATCAGCTCGTCAGCAGTTCAAATTTGGCTGAGAATAAACAGTAGTTCCCTCTATTTGTTGGAAAAGCATCATCACAAATTGAAGAAGGAGCCTGACCTGCTCACATTGTCAATAGCACAAGGTAAAATATTTCCCAGTTACAGAGAGAATATATCAGAGGGTGATTGACATTGCGTACTAATACTCGGAAGGTCAAGGTTCGAGTACCGGTTAGAGCAACAATTAAATTTAAGGAAAATTGCGGTCGCCCCTGGGCAGGGAATATCAAGCCCGTGGAGTGTATTTCTGTCATGAAATAAAAATCCACCGGCCGTTCAGAGGCGGCCTAGAATTACAGCACAAATCGGAGGAGGAGCTCGGCCAAAAATCGCTTTAGCAGTTACAAACCGCCAATTATTATACGTTATATACCATATCAAGTTCGGATTATACTTGAACTTGAAAACCTGAAATAAATCGATATCAAATAGCACGAGATGATCGTAGATAGCAAACTTATTTGGAGCCAATACACGACAGAAAAGTCCATTGGATGAATACAGTGTCAGCTTATGATACAATCACTTTCATGAGGAAACTAGAGAAAATTGAACGGCTTGTAGCTATCCTCATCAAAGGAGCGCTATCACCGACTCCCTCAAATGTCAAGGTCTAGAAACTGCCCTAAAATAAAATTTAAGCGAACTGGAACCCAATTAGATTGAATACATCCCGGCCGTGGAGGCATCTCAATGTAGGACACAGCAAATTATTTTCTCTCACACAGTTTCCAAAAGAATTGGACTACGTCAGCACTAACGTCTGCATTGACAATCTCTTTTCTACTTTTCTAAACGGGTGGCAAGAGACATGTTGTTTGACCTAACCGCTGCTGAAAACTAAAAGATCAAGGCATTTAATTCATCTAGACTGGTTCTCCCTCTGTCTATATCTACGGATATAATAACAGGATTTTGTTTAATGGGACTCAGAGAACGACAAGAGGTTAATAATCTAATGATTTTCGTCGCACTTGCAGGGGCGATATAAGTTCCATGGGAAATATTTTATGCTTGTCACGCTGAGGGATCTCACGACGTTACCAATAGCCACAATAACTGTACTGTATATTGAGGTACATTTAGCCTGAAACTCCACTCCACTCCGAACTTTGCCTTTAAAAGGAAATTGAGCGCAGCAAATCTTTGCATGGTTGCCATCTGGTCACTTTATTGTATAAAATAATCCAACAAAAAACACGCCAGCAATGATTTCTGTGAGAATATCACAATAATATAACAACTAGAGCAGAAATAGACGTCGGTGTTTTAACAAAGCATCCAACAACAACAACCCATGCATACATACATTCACACGAGCAAATACGGAAGCACACACAGACTGCTATGAAATTTAATACATTCCTGTGTTGATGTCCTTTTTGAATAGGGAGCAAAGTAACTTGACAACATTTAGCATAATGACGCCCCTGCCATTGTTGACAAATGTTTGTGACATTGTTTTTTGTTGTTATTATAGTTTGCTGACTGTTGTAACATTTGCTACAACGTATGTAACCGACTGCACTTGACAGTGCTTTGCTTGCGTACAATATGTAGGAATGCATGGTTAAGTGCAAGGCTGCACAAACAGTAAGGCATTTATGAAAGAAAAAAATAAAAATAAATAAAAGAAAATAAAACGAACAAGAAATACACGATAGCTTTTTATAAATTCAAATTGTTTGTATGTATATGCTGAAAGGTATATATCGCAGTTAAAATATTAAATGTTGCCTTTAATAGAGAATTAGCAGCTGGAAGTGTTTCGCTGCCACCGCAGCCTACTGTTCATTTATATTATTTAACGTTAAATATCATTATTATTAAATTTTTAATATGAATATATCTTTTTATTTAATTTAATTCAACTTTTTTCAGTCCACACATCCTCTCATACGCACCAGCCAAGTGAGTTTGAGCTCAAATCCTGATGCCGATTTTCGTTATACAACAATTTTTACACCCATTGGACTCTACAAGGGCCAATTGTATGCCATTAAAAAAGTACGAAAGAAATCCGTGGATATAACGCGTGAAATGAAAAAGGAATTGAAATTGGTGAGTGTTTTTATTTTAATTAATACTATTATGTTTAGTTTTATTTTACTTTTTTACTTTGTTTAGTTTTATTTTTTATTAATTTAAATTAAGTTAAAAATACTAAATATTATTCATTTAAATTAATTTTATTTTATTTTATCTTAAATGATTTTATTTTAATTTCCTTTTTTTATTATATTTAAAATTTGATTGGTTCTATTTTTTCAGTTTTTTTCTTTATTTTTTCAATATTTTTTAATATATATTTTTAAATTTATTTATATATATTTTTAATTTACCCATATCTACCCATATCTTTAGATTATTTAATTTTTTTAATTTATGCTATTATATATTTATTTTTTTTTATTTATTTTCTTATATTTTGCTTAGCTTTATTTTTTTTTAATTTTTTCTGTACTTATTTTTATTTGTTTATTTCGCTTATTATGTACAATTTTATTTTTGTTTATTTTATTTCGTTTAATAATGAATTAGTTTCTTTATTTTTATGATAATGAATTTTATTATATAATTTTATCTAAATTTATACATTTTTAATCTTTTACTTTAATAAATTGATTTATTTATTTAAATCTAAGTTTATCGCTTTTTTAATTTTTTACTGCAATAAATTCTGCTTAAATTTACTTTTTTATTTTAATTATATTTATATATTTTATTAATTTTTCTTTATTTGGTTTTAGTTCAGTTTATATCTATACATAGATTTTAAAAAAATGTGCAAATATTCAAATTTTATTTGCTTATAAATTTTTTTTTAACATTTTAATCTTTTTTATTTTAATTTTGATTTATTTATTTTATTTAATTTTAGGTAAATCTACTTATTTATCTAATTTAATACTTTTTTATCTAAATTTTTCGTTTTTATTTATTTTTTTATGAAATACTGCTTAAATTTATTTTGGTTGCTTTTATATTATTTTTCTTTATTTGTTTTTAAAACAGTTCATATATCTTTTTTAGAATTTAAAAAATTTATTCGCATTTACTTTTTTATTTTATTTTAATATAATTTTTTTAACATTTTTATTATTACTTTGTTTTAATTTTTTAATTATTTGTTTTTTCATTTTATGTAAGTCTGTTTATTTATTTAATTTAACCTTTTATTGCGTTTAAGTTTATTCTTCTTATTTTTAATTTTTTTTTTTGAAATCCTGCTTAAATCTTTTTTATTTCAATTATTGTTTTTATTATATTTTATTTTTCTTTACTTGGGCTTATTTAAGTTTATTTAATTTATTTTATTTTATTAAGTTAATTTATTTTCGTTCTTTTTTTAATTATGTTTTCATTTTATATTAATATAATTTTTCAATTATTCTTCTCATATTAGTTATTTTTCTTTTTAATAAAATTTAGTTATTTAATTTAATCTTATATTTTGTCAACATTAGCTCTTTTATTTTTTAAAATATTTTTTTTTGATTTTTTAAATAATTTATTCTTTTCATATTTATGTGTTTTTCTTTCTGATATATTTCATTTTTTTTTAATAAAATTTATTTATTTTATAATATTAAATTATTATATTTTATCAACATTAATTCGTTTTAAAATAATTTTTTAAATTTTTTAAATAATATATTATTTTTATATTTATATATTTTTCTTTTTGATATATTTCAATTTTTAATAAAATGTATTTATTCAATTTAATGTTATATTTTATCAACATTAATTCTTTTCTAATTTTAAATTTACTTATTTTTTTATGAAATCTTGCTGAAATAAATTTTTTATTTTAAATATTTGAGACTATATTTAAATATAATATTACTTTATTTGATTTCAATTCATTTTATTTATTTATTTATTATATATCATTTTAAGGCAATTTATTTTAATTCTTTTTATATTGATTTTTTTATTTATTTAAATTTTTTTTAATAATATTTTTGTATTGTATTTTTTTTATTAGTTTTTTACTTTAACTGATTTCTTTTTTATTTATCTTATTTTTTCCTTTTCATTGATCTTTCTTTACTTTACTTTTTTTATATAATGTGAATTTATATCATTTTAAATTATACGAGTATATACTTATATTTTTGTATCATTTTATTTAAGTTAACTTTAATTTATTTTACTTCAGTTTCTATTTTATTTTATTGTATTTTTCATACCTTCATTAATTGATTAATTTTTATTTTATTTAAAATCGTTTTTTTTTAATTTAAATAATTTTTTTTTATTTAAATAATTTTTTTTATTACTTTTTGAATCTACTTTAATATATATTTTTATTTTTATTTTGTTATATAATATATATTTTTATTTTTATTTATTTTGTATAATTTTATTTATTTCTCTTCTATTTTTAATTGATATTTATTTAAATTATTTATGTTTTTATTTCAGTTATTTAACTTTAATTAAAGTTATTTTTTTTATTATTCAGTTTAAATAATACATATTTTTATCTTAATTGATATGTTATTTATTTTATTTTGTTTTACTTTGTAATATTTAATTTTAAATTTATTTATTTTTATTTTATTTAATTTATTTGATTTATTTTTGTTTGCTTAATTATATTATTATTTAATTAGATCTTTTAACTTTACTTGTTTTATTAATTATTTATTCATTTTTTTTTTGTGTTTTTATTAATTTTTTATTTTGTTTCCTCTTTTATTTTTTTATTTATTTTTATAAATAATTTACTTTTTTGTGTTTTTATTAATTTTTTTTTATTTGAATATATTTAATTTAATTTTGTTTTTTTTTATTATTTCATTTCTATTTTTTTCTGCTTAATTATTTATTTATGAACTCGCTTTTTTGTGTTAATTTATTTTATGATATTTAATTTCTTCTCTTACCTTAAAATAATTTTGAATTTAATTTGATTTAATCTACTTATTTTTTATTTTTTTATTATTTATTTATTTTTGTTTTAAAAAATTTTTATTTTATTTTATTTGTTTTGTTTTATATTAATTCAAGCAAAATTATTTACTTAAATTTTAACTCAACACATTTGTTTAATATCTTTTTCTCTGTTAAAAACGTTCATCCGCATGACTCGTCCACTGTTCACTTCTCACATCTCTATATTACTCTGGGATTTACGCTGCGCTGTCGAATTCACTCAACGCCAATGCACCACAATCACCAACACACATTATATATCTTGTGAACTCCAACTATGAACTCTCACTTCCGTCATTTTCTTTTATGTTTGTCTTCCTTGCTTACCAGCTTCGCGATACACGACATGACAATATATGTGCCTTCATTGGTGCTTGCACAGATCCACCGAATATTTGCATCATCACAGAATATTGCACCAGAGGCAGCTTAAAGGTAAGTAAGACCAAAATCAACCTGACTTCAACTCTCATGGTACTCGACTGCAATTACGTAGTAGAAGTCATTACTGGAAGGATTGTGTAGTGCAATTTTTTCATTTCGCGGAAAGCTAAAGTCTCAAGAGAGGATTAGAGGAGAACGTCTGCTAAAATAATAAAATGTGAAAAGAATTATAAAAATCTTAACGAGAAGTAAAATTTTATTTTCACTTTAAAAAATTAGAGTAAAAAATATTTGATGTCTAGGAAAGTTTTCCAGGCAGAGATGGAATGAAGAAAAGGAGGTTGGAATAATTTTTCAAAATGGTTCTTAAAAAATTTAAAGCCTTGACAAATTTCTAGCATTTCATTCATTTGTCCTACAGTTTGAAGTGAATTAAACACGTCCGATTCTTTATTAAGTGACCAGAAAATGTGACAGTAAATACTCGTATAATTAAGATCTCGGTACAATAGTTAGGAAGGATAGAAGAAGTTATCTAGACCTCCGTCAATCAAAAGCAAGACAGTTGGAAAGCCATCGCTTTGTCTAATCAGAGGCTTCGAGCTACCTTCCAATTTAATCAGAAACTTTGAGTAGCCACAATGGGTTTCCTGGCCTTAACTAATTCTATTTGATTAGACAACGAAAACCTTCACAATTTTCACGTACTAATGAATCCATAATTAGGTTTCGGTCTGCTATAAACGTGTCCAAAAGTTTTAATGTCTCTGAGAGTAAGTGACTCTTCGGAACAGCAAATTTTAGCCCCTTCGACTTGATAATCCCGCCAAGAAGTTCCCATTAGCCACAGTCAGAGTCTTAGCGACCGACGTCCCACTATTGACAGTCATAACTTTTAAGTAATAGATAATTTCGTCTATCCCGGGTCATCCCGCTGAGTCACTACAAGCCAATAGGAGCTATTTTGGGCTGAGTAGGCAATTGAAAAGTAAAGTCCTGTCTCGACGAACAAAGACCAAATTCTACAAGTCACTTATTACTCCAGTACTTCTATATGGCGCGTAGGTATGACCAATAGCAACATCTAATGAGTCGATTTACGGTACTTTGCGCATTGGCAACGGCGGGTACCGCAGGCGATGGAGCGTTGAGCTGTACGAGATATACGGCGACAGCCAATACCTGTTGACCTAAACAGATTTAGATAGTCCTTGGTCGGATAAAATCCGGGTCAGCTCTTGTGCATAGAACCGACTGTCGTGAGAATTGGCTAACTTCTCGACTATCCTGTTCACCAGCTGGACAAAAGGGTAAAGGCTCGGACTCGTTGTGAAAATCGGTGGTGTCGAATTTTCCACTATAAACAACCCATAGTTACTGAAAGTTACACTCGACAGCCTGCACTCATTCACTCCACATACGACTGCGATTGCCGCCAAGCCCCGGAGCCGCAATAAAATCCTCAAAGCGTTGCTGGCAACATTGAATTTATTTCTTAAAGCCCCCCACACAACTTTAACTTACTAATCCGTGCCATTTGTTTCTTTTTCTCCCTTTATGTTATTTCCCCCATACCGCCCTTTCGTAGGATATATTGGAGAATGAGGATGTCAAGTTGGACAACATGTTTATCGCCTCAATGGTTGCGGACATCATACGCGTAAGTTCAATACCGCAATAAGCTTACTTAATCGTCGTTCACCCACCCCGCTGGGTTGTACGATTCTGCTGCATTTGCTAAGGATTTTGTGCAAATGTAATAAATATTTTCTTTTCCTATGCGCACTACAGGGTGTCATCTACTTACATGAATCGCCCATTCGCTTTCACGGTTCATTGTGCACCTCCAATTGCCTCGTCGATTCACGCTGGGTTGTTAAACTGACCGATTTCGGTTTGTTCGCCTTCAAAAAGGGCATGGAGGACAATTCAACGGAAGTGCCAAACATGACAGTTAAGTGTACAAGTATGTATAACGGCATGTGCACTTAAAGTCCACTTCCCATACACTTTAATATTTTCCTTACAATTCTTTGGCAGAGCTACTTTACCGCGCACCCGAACTACTACGACTTGGCGCTGCATCGCTCGTGACGGGCACACAAAAGGGTGACTCGTATTCCTTTGGCATCTTGCTCTATGAAATACACACACGACACGGTCCTTTCGGTGAAACTGGCCTCACACCCATGCAATGTCTACAAAAGGTACTCCAACCACAAGATCATCTTTATCCTTATCGGCCCTCTTTGCAACCACTGGAGACCTCCTTCGATTGTGTACGCGAAATATTGCGTGAATGTTGGTCCGAGCGGCCGGAAGAGCGTCCCGATTTTAAGACGATACGTGCCAAATTACGTCCGCTACGTAAGGGTATGAAACCGAATATATTTGACAATATGATGGCTATGATGGAGAAGTATGCGAATAATTTGGAAGCTTTGGTCGACGAGCGCACCGATCAGTTGCAAGAGGAAAAGAAGAAGACTGATGCATTGTTATTGGAGATGCTGCCACGTCCGGTGGCAGAGCAATTGAAGAAGGGCAATAAAGTGGATCCGGAGAGTTATGAGCATGTGTCGATATATTTTAGTGATATTGTGGGCTTTACCGCGATGTCGGCGGAGAGCACACCATTGCAGGTGGTAGACTTCTTGAATGATTTATACACGTGCTTTGATTCGATCATCGGGCACTATGATGTCTACAAGGTGGAAACCATTGGAGATGCTTATATGGTGGTAAGTAGAGAATAATGATTGATTCTAAGTCCCCCTCTGCGGGTTAGGGGTTCAAGAATTCACCCGCGGTAAGGCATGCTTGTCGTAAAATGCGACCAATAGTTCACGCGATAAGCGGGTCTTTATACCGGAACGAACCGGATTTTTATCCGGCTAAGACCGGAAAAACTCCCCAAAAATTACTGTGGGGAATATTTTTGCGGTTACAACAACAACATCATTGATTCTAAAAATCGATTTGGGGTATCTCATGTTCCACAGCCCCTTAGTGCTCACTGCACATAAAACAAAGGTTCCTCCAACAGCCCCTTGCAGCCGGTCTAGGATAAACGGTCCAGCGGTTTCAAATCGCCAATTATATATCAGAAAGCAAGATATCGGCACCGCAGTGAGAGCATTTTTTTCATAAATGAAGTCCCCACTGTAGGGAGCGATTATCGGAGCTGCTTTTGTAAGTGTTCGAGAGATCGTCTGGCTGTGGACTCTTTTATGCTCCCAAGTAATTACTTGGGTTTCAAGCATTAGCGGAACTCCGATGTAGACTGAGGACTTGGCCCTGTTCGATCGTGACGTACATTGAGCCAATCATAGCAAATTTTCCGTCATAATGCAAGGCGTTCAATGAAATTCGACCTCGGCATTAATGAATAGATATGACAGTGTCCAGTCAGAACACTCTTCATAAGCGAGAGACGGCTACATTTAACGCGATACTCATAGCATGAGGAAGACTTTGTAATTGCGCTCACCTCAGTACTATTGTAGATCGAACTAGAGAGAGACCCATTTGTCTTAGTAAAGCCTTAAACTGACCGGAGTTTTGCCTATCACTTCTCTGTCTAATAAAATTGAGGCCGCAGCTCCGATTCCAATACAATGATCACGGTGTTTCCTAATGAGTATCAACGCAATCAGCGTGTTTGCCATCCCGAGGTGCTAATTTTCTCAAAGAAAACAAAAAAAACTTGATCGTTGGAGTTGTGAGATTCATAATGTAGCCCATAGGCAGCTATCCCGAACCCCGTGCTTGAATATTTGTATATGGTTCATGTTATTTCTGAATACAACCGGCCTAGCCTGGAGTTTCTCACTGATTTTTTAATTGTTTTCTTCAGGTCTCTGGTCTACCAATCCGCAATGGTGATTTGCACGCCGCCGAAATCGCTTCGATGTCCCTCCATCTACTCAGCGCGGTGTCTGAATTCAAGATACGACACCGACCCACCAACAAACTATTACTACGCATCGGCATACACACAGGACCGGTATGCGCCGGTGTGGTGGGCTTGAAAATGCCACGTTACTGCCTGTTCGGCGACACAGTGAACACCGCCTCGCGTATGGAATCAAGCGGTGTACCATTGAAGATACACTGCAGTGAACAGTGTCGCGAATTGCTGGAGAAACTCGGTGGCTATCACTGCCAGGAACGTGGTATGATAACAATGAAGGGTAAGGGCGATCAACGCACCTACTGGTTGCTGGGTGAGGATGAGGATGCGCGTAATAAACGCAACTATGAACGTTCACAACGACGCGGCTCGCGTGCGCTCAACAAATTCATACAAGGCACTATCAAACAGAATAGTCAACAGCAGACGACATCGGCGGTGGTGGATTATGGCATACGTTCGTCGTTGAAGAATAAGGGTATGCCGCGGAATTCGTTGACACGCTCCTCCAGCTTGGAGTCGCCGAAGAAGCTACGTTTTGCAACTGGCAGTTTGCTCGAACATCATCGCTATCACAGGTGGGTTTGAAAAAAAAAATGTATTTTTCATAAATCGAAATTGAAATATTGAAATTTTTTTGTTCAAGTGATGAGGCACTACTGGAGGTTATCACCGACTCATACACTGGCGTACGCCGCTCCTCAGGCGGTTCGACACACTCCCGGTATGAGGAATCGACGTTATCGTGTGGTAGCAATGAAGAGCTCACCAGTTGGCAGCGTCAGCGGCGACCCTCCTCATATCCCACAGCCAATACGCCGCTGCTACTCAATCATGTAGAGACCTGACAGCGGGTGAAGGACGAGTGAGTGCAGCTGCTACCTGCTGTAGGCGTGGCATATTACGGCAGGCCGAGAGAGTAATCAAATACAGGAATTTATTAGACTATTTCGACTATTAGCGTATTCAAAGAGAAGTTAAGAGAAAAAGTAGTTGAATTATTTTTTTTCTTTTCAATTATTTTGCATTTCTCATGTGTAGGCAATTTCAAAAAATATAATAATACAAATTTAATAATTAATTAAAAATCTTATAAATAACGGTATTACTAACTGTAACTATTTATGTTTGTACTTAGTAATGCTTTTTGCCGGCAGCGTCTGCGCGAAAAACATGAAAAAAAAAATTGGTTTTGAAAACTTTTGTGATTCAGCATCTACAAATGAATTTAAATTAGTTTTAATTATTTTTATGAATACGAGTATAATATAATAATCATAATTTATTGAAAAAAATATGTATACTTAATAAAAAATATAACAAAAATGTAGTGAATATTCTTAGAGAAATTATGATAATAATATGAATAATATTTATGTTTGTATTGCTCGTTGGTGATTGCCAAGTTCTAGTCGTTCGTTAAGTGTAAAACTTATATGTATGTATGTATGTAATAGTGTTAAAGTTAAGCAAATAAAAGTGGAATAATGAAAATTCTAGGGATTTACTCATTTCATAACTTTGGATGTAAGCAAAACTGGAGAGTCGCAAAGATGGCTGAACAGCACAGTTTATCTGTGTTGTTGTTGTTGTTGTAGCTGTTTACTAACACCTTTCAAAGATAGGCTAGATTAGTCTAAGTCATCGGAGTCATCTAACGAGTGGGCTAGGAAACGTGCTGTTTCGACGGGTTCGAACCAGAGAGAAAAGTGCTGAGTGGCATGCAATGAGGTAGTTGGTGTCGTCTAGGGATTCGCTGCACGCAGGACATATGTACATACTTTAGGTATGTCGAGGTCGAAACTGAATAAGCAGCAGTTTAACCTGCTACAGTGTCCAAGGTCAAGTTGCGCCAGTTTCACGCGGACCTCTCGAGGCAGCTCGAATTCTTCGTCTACAATGTGTGGTACTTTGACTCCGAGAACGCCATGCACAGGGAGAGAGTGCATGAAGTTGGTAACCGAACCATGGTGAATTGCGTTAAGTGTTTGTCGGTTAGCCGTTCTGCCCAGCGTTTGTTGTCGATGGCACTGTATGAAGTCCTATAGGTCAAGTACTCCCTGCCTCTGATATGCCTGGGTGGTGGTGGTTCAGCTTCTAGTAAGTGTCTGTTAGGATGTCCTCTAAGGTAGCATCCCAGCAGAAATTGTTTGCACAGCAATGCATTATGCTCCTTAATTCATTATATGGATGCTTCGCTGTGCTGAAGATGTTAAAGGCGCTGTAGGAATGACGAGGAGTAAGTTACTATTTTCCAACTGCTATATGATTGCAATGGTCTAAGCAAATGTAGACATTGGCTTTTTGGAGTCACTTTTAAGCCTAGCGCTTGCCATGTGTCAGGAACTGAAGAGTTTTATTTTGGATTCATAAGAGAGTGCCAATGGATGGAAGAGTAGCCGTTGGGTTAGAGCAAGTTTTTCATGGTATTACATAGGGGTCTATCAAGATCGAGTTCTCGATGAACCGTATTAAGCCATTAGCTTGACGTCAGCTATCTTGGATAGGCCAGAAAGATACTCCTTAAATTTGTGGTCGTCATTAGTTCGAGGCGTGAACATACTAACCACTAGACTCCCTTTATAAGGAGGCCCAATAAACTGTCTGTCTTGGAGACATCCTGCCTTTTTAAGGGCATGGCTATCCATATCGATGGATTCTTAATCGAAAAAATTTTACTCAAGTTTGACCGCCTTACAGTTTTCCTGATGATTAACGACCAGGCACCAAAATCAATTAAGCCATGTCTAGGATAAATAAAGTTAACGATTGGACTGTCGCTGAAGATAAAGATCTCATTATATTTAGAGCTGGTTTCTCGTTAGTAGACACCTTCGCTTTGATTTGGTATTTTAAGTTAGAGTCCCAAGAGAGTGTTTAATAGGAAGATATCACGATCAAACCCTCTTCTCAGAGTGTAGTAGTCATCGGCCTAAATAATTGGCGGGAGATTATGAAAATTTGTAGTACGTCAAAGCTTTTTGCGAAGCTAAAGTGTGAGATCCGTGATATCCAAGTTCTAAACTACCGCTATTCGTTTAAACTGCGAAGCTCCTAAATGCCCATTTCGAGTATTGGATAAAGCCGGACAAAAGCGGAGGAGATTTCCCAACGTTTCTATTGTGTGACCTCTGATTGGGTAAACAACTATCCTGCAACAATTTCGAAACTAGGCAAGCAAGATTTGGGCGTGCTTTCCTTCTGTGTGCTTTCCATTTCTGAGATTATTACTTTAATTGCCCATTGTTAATATTCTTCATGTGGTTTCTTGCAGTTTTATCTAGTTTAGCAGCTTTCACTATTGCGAAGTCCTCCACTAGGGAAATACTGCAGTATTCTGCAGTTCTAATGGTTGACGGAAACCTAAATCAGCGCACTAAATTAGAAAATTTTGATTCGTCCGTTGTTGGGTCGCTTGTCCCTGCTTCATTCGTTTCCTTGTAATGTGGCTTGGAACCTCCTTTTCCATGTAAGGGTATAGATATGTGGTCTATTTTTTCACCATTTCTTTGTTGTGCTCGAAGATTCTGGCAGAGAACTTATCCAATATCACTAAAATTAGTGGGGATTTCGCTGCAATGGTTTCCAATGTCAACTGGTGGTAGATAAAGTAACCTTCGAGTGGTTCCGAATGCTCCTTTCATGTGGGGCGTTCCTAGCCGTTGTATTCGCTTCCTCTATGAGAGTTCACGGATAGCGATCCTCTACATCTTAACACCCTATACATACGAAATGGGCTCTCTCTGCTTTTTTACCCTCTCCTAAATAATAAATTTACCCCATCTGCTGTCAGTCCAAAATTATATTGAAGTGCTTGAAGTATATTCCTCAATTATTGGCTCCACCCATTGGTTATCGAAAGTTTCCACGCAAGGATCTTGTACCTTATTGTAAATGGTTGTATCGACAATTATCACTAATATCACAAATCGGTATAGAGAACGAGAGCGTTCTCCATCGAGTTACTAATAGTGCATAGGCAAAAAGGTTTGGTGCTTTCCCTAAACATTTTTGGGAAGACCGCTCGAGGATTTTTTTCGTGTTGGTCTGAGTAGTCTGGCTTCTTTTCATTCCAAGTTAATCTTCCTGAAGATCCGTAGACTTTTTATCCATAAGTGTCTGACTATAAACAGGCACCCATATGTGTAGTATTCTGTTCTGTTTAGCCATTTGTAATAGACATCGGCGCCAATCCAGCACAGTTTTGAAGATCATGGCAATCCAAATGGTTGCAATACAGAGGCCTAACTATAGCGAGAATAATTGCTTTTTTGTCGCCTCAAACGACAGGTAGTCCTTACTACGGGTAGATTAGAAGTGGCCAAATATAGGGTTATGGTTTAGAAAACGAGGTTCTTCGCTGTTCTGGATCTCTAGAGTGAGGATTTCCTAATATGGCGTTATAAAGGGCACGCAGGGGCCGAGTAGAACCTCATGGCATGCAAATCATACGCTGAGGTTTTGGGGATTTCTACTCCGTACTTTAGTAACAATCAGTGATGTGCTGCGCTGTGGAATGCTGAAAGCTTTCGATCGCCTACCCAGTAACTATGATAGAAGTAGTTTCAGGTCAAGGCTTGGACTTAACTTTATAATAACGGGCGTTCCTAGCCGTTGTATTCGCTTCCTCTATGAGAGTTCACGGATAGCGATCCTCTACATCTTAACACCCTATACATACGAAATGGGCTCTCTCTGCTTTTTTACCCTCTCCTAAATAATAAATTTACCCCATCTGCTGTCAGTCCAAAATTATATTGAAGTGCTTGAAGTATATTCCTCAATTATTGGCTCCACCCATTGGTTATCGAAAGTTTCCACGCAAGGATCTTGTACCTTATTGTAAATGGTTGTATCGACAATTATCACTAATATCACAAATCGGTATAGAGAACGAGAGCGTTCTCCATCGAGTTACTAATAGTGCATAGGCAAAAAGGTTTGGTGCTTTCCCTAAACATTTTTGGGAAGACCGCTCGAGGATTTTTTTCGTGTTGGTCTGAGTAGTCTGGCTTCTTTTCATTCCAAGTTAATCTTCCTGAAGATCCGTAGACTTTTTATCCATAAGTGTCTGACTATAAACAGGCACCCATATGTGTAGTATTCTGTTCTGTTTAGCCATTTGTAATAGACATCGGCGCCAATCCAGCACAGTTTTGAAGATCATGGCAATCCAAATGGTTGCAATACAGAGGCCTAACTATAGCGAGAATAATTGCTTTTTTGTCGCCTCAAACGACAGGTAGTCCTTACTACGGGTAGATTAGAAGTGGCCAAATATAGGGTTATGGTTTAGAAAACGAGGTTCTTCGCTGTTCTGGATCTCTAGAGTGAGGATTTCCTAATATGGCGTTATAAAGGGCACGCAGGGGCCGAGTAGAACCTCATGGCATGCAAATCATACGCTGAGGTTTTGGGGATTTCTACTCCGTACTTTAGTAACAATCAGTGATGTGCTGCGCTGTGGAATGCTGAAAGCTTTCGATCGCCTACCCAGTAACTATGATAGAAGTAGTTTCAGGTCAAGGCTTGGACTTAACTTTATAATAACATCAAGAGACTTCTCCGTACTGCTTGTAGAATGTTTTAAGATGAAGAAATTGAACAGCAGTGGGAAAAAGACACACATTCGCTAAGCCTTTTGTTGAATTTTATAGAGGTTCTATGTTCTGTGTGACAACGAAAATCTAATAATGAGAGGGGTTCCATCACTTAAATTCTAACAGTAATTACATTTTCTCAATATCATCTAGCAGCACAACAAGTTACACCGAGTCGAGAGCTCTAGAAAAGTGTACTACCAGAATATTTAGCACACAGAATAACATTCTGGGAAATACCACGATTTAACTGTATGCTTTTGGCTCTCAGTGTTGTAGTGGTTTTATACTGAGCGAGTGAAAGGCGGAAGAGCGCAAGATCAAATGCCGGGTTGATTAACTAACAATTTAGAGTTTGTTCAGAGATTGATTGTCTTAGAAATTCAGGTTGCAGCTCTACGAGTATAATCTGAAAGAGAGGAGAATACAGAAATTCAAGAGAAGAAGATTTTGTCGAATACAACTCAACGCAGTTCGGGTTGCGAAAATCATTATTTTTTACAGTAAGAGATCGAAGGTGGAGAGGTGAATTTCATGTCAACTTTCTTCTACTACAGACAGATAGTAGACTTGCATGTTGAGCAAACATTTTTAGGTTATGTGCGAAACGCGATCTCTTAATCTGAACTG